TGAAGCATCTCAGGAGAGAAATGCAAACACATTTTAACTTGGCTATTCAAATGGCATGCTGTGGAAAACTAACAGGACTTTAATATTTTTTGTGTCTATATTCTTTTTGTTTTTGGTCTGCTTTTTGTGAATCAAGTTAACTTGTAATTCTCAGATGTGGTCAGAATAAACCCCACTGTCTGTGCTAACTTGAACACTGTCTCCCAATTTGCAGAATGAAAAGCAGGAGATGACAAGGCCCTGCAGAGGACAGTGAGGGGAGCCGAAATGTCATTAAAGAGCGGAGAATCCTCCCTCCCTCCCCCCCAACATTGTCAGAAGCTCTTCATACTGTTTCTACGAACTTTAAGATCTATTTCCATCTAAATTTGCATTAAAATTTATATTAAAATACACCTCTACTCAGCTTTCTGCTCTATCCATGCAATCACTTCCACTCATTTGTCAAATAATTCCAGAGTAAACATCAGATTTTACTGTGATTTACACATAACACGAGGTTACGTTAATTTAATTTAATCAAATCAACTCCTCTCAAAATTGCATTTAAATCCCCCTTAGACAAACACACACACACATTGTCGATAAGCAAATGTATGACTGCAAAGGAAGCAAAAAATGTTGCTCCATATTTTCATTTACAGTTGCCCTCATCAGCATGAGGTCGTGTTGCAGCGTGGGACACACAGCCACCAGCTCACAGCTGGACGTCCACACTGTCAGACAGTGTAGATGTGCACTTACCAGGATTAAGCATGGCAAACGGTGCCAAAACAGTGACAGTATGAAGTAACTGATGCTGTTTAAAAATTCAAGGGGCCTCCATTGAGCAGACACTGTAGCACACACACACACACACACACACACCACACACACACATCCCTGCGCCACAGACCGGTTCGACTAGCTGCTGCCTCCTTCTCCTCCACCTCCACTTCCAGCAGCACATCTGGGTGCACAACTCCAGTTCCTCCGGCCCGGCAGTGAAAAGTGCGAGAAAATCTTGCAACGGCTGTGACTCTAAAACCCGTCCTGGGAATGTGTTTTTATGGAATTTATGTATCGTTTTGTGCAGTTAAACATGTAAAAAAACAACAACAAAAAACACCACATTGTGTTCACAACACTGTAAACAGAGATGCCTACGCGCGCACACACACACACACACGTACGCACGCACGGCACACGCACACATGCAGAGTCACTTGTCGAGTGGCTAATATCTTCCCAAGGTCAAACCTGACGAGGAATTCCAATGAGATTAAGTGTCATCATTGCGGCTTTAGCTCCTTTCTGCTCATTGTTCTTGGAAGCGGCATTAGAGGCTGAAATGGCCAACGTCTCGATGCCATAAAACCTCTTCCCCTGAGTGTTTGGTCTGGTTCACAGCAGGGGTGTTCGATGCAGGGCCTGCAGCTTAAAAATGTCAAAGAGTGATGACGCTCCTACAGTGACGAGAGTCCAACAAGTTTCAACTGAAGCAACTTTGATTCTACTTTCACTTTAGGAGAACTGTGGCTGCGTGGAGATTACTTTGCGTTTAAAATCACCAAACTGTAAAATTTGAGGATTTCTGTAGGGTTTGATACAGAAATATATATATATATATATATATATATATATATATATATATATATATATATATATATATATATATATATATATATATATATATATATATGTGTGTGTGTGTGCGTCAAAAATGTTTAGAATTGACGAGAAATTTTAAAACGTCACAAGGTGTTATTGAAAGACATTGTTGACAAAACTTAAACACCAACTATAGAGACTTAAGAAAAGGTAAACACAATAAAATGCATATTTTTCTTCCACTTCCTAACGAAGTAATCAGCCAGTGGATCTTAAAACAAGCCATCTAAAGCTGTTCAGATTTAAAAGTAGCATTTATTCAAAGAGACTGTACAATGAATTACTAAATATTCTCTGGGTACAAAATTAGATAGTTTATTGTATTGAGTTTTTTTTTTCGTTTTTTTTTTTTTTTTGTGCATTCATTCCTAAATCATATGTCAGTCCGGTTCGTTTTCAGGAAACCTCCACTAAAGCGGCAGCCTCATCGCTGTGTCAGCCTTCGTCTACCGCTCTGCCTCTCTCACTAAATTTGACACATCGTCGTTCGGTGGCAGGAGTGAGCGTTTTGTCATCTCCTTCTAAAGTGCCAACTCAATGTCCAATTACGCCCCGGCAACTAATTTAATTACAGTAGCAGCAGAAATGGCTTGATTCAATTCATTTCGCTTATTCCCGATCGGGCCAGTCGGATCAAATTTGACTCATCTCAGGTACAGCCCTGCCTGTTGCTTTTTATCTCCGGGCGTCTCGGCTGAGGCGAGATAAGCAAAGGGGCCCTGATATGGTAAATAATATAATTTCTGGGTAGGCTCTCAGAATGGCCCCCAGTAGATGCTGAGTCTGTGATCTGAGGGAGAGTAAAAACACTCCACTTTCAGTGCAGTGCTCACAGCCTCTTGCCTCTTAGTAGAGCCCCAGCTACAATAGTCATTACTAATTCATGATGTCCACAATTATGTATCAGATTGTGTGCGTCTTACATAGTTAACTAAGAGATGTGTGGCAGAATGCAAAGCTACAAACCGTCTGGAAATAAAAAGATGCACACTGTGTTGCTTGGTCAGGCAGCTTTGTTATTTTATTTTTTAATCCAAAATGTTAATTACTCTATTTACCCAAATGAGTCAAAAAAATAAATAAATATGGCCCAGCTTGTCGTTTAGATAAGAGAAGAAACCATTTAAATTAAAACTGTACTTTTAATAATGTAAATGTACATAATGTAAAAATCATTTCTTCTAAAATGAAGACATGGTTTTTCTTCATTTCAATTAGGAGAAGCTAACAAGGTTAGCTAGCATGAGCTACATGCCAGAGATGTCCAAAGTGTGACTCTCGGGCCATTTCTGTTCCTTAGGAATGATTTTGTGTGACCCGTAACCACAACTCCAAAGATTAAGAAATTAAACTACTTTGCTTGTTTTGTAACTCTCTCTCTCTCTCTCTTTATATATATATATATATATATATATATATATATATATATATATATTATTGGGTAAAAATAAAAATGGTCAGACTAGTAAAAACAAATTACCATAATTTAAAAACAAATCATACTTTGACCAAAATTGTGTTCATAAAGCCTGTGTAAAAATACATTCTAAACATGGAGTGTTCTCGTTTAGTTTGACTCAAAATTTACTTGTAGCAACAATCTTTTCAACTCTCTTTGGTAACCTTGCTATGCAATGTTGATCAGTCATCTCAACCTTATATATACAGCATTTTGCAAAGCAAAGTTTTTGACATATTCATAATTTTATTTTATTTTATTTTAAATCCCCTTGGACCTCCTTGACAAAAATCTGAGTCCTGTATAAATAAAGAAAAACAATGAAAAAGGTTTTTGTTGAATACCAGAGGAAGAAGTTTTGCTTATGCGTTTTTAACCCTTCACCTGCAAAGTACAGGGATCTCAGTACCCGCTACATCCCACTCTCACAGTTTGGATAAAGAAAATATAAGCAGACATTATTTTCTACATGAAGACGAATTGCCACGTAAACTGTTCATTATCAAAAATAAAAAACACATATCAAAAAATGTGTTTTTGTGTGTGTGTTTTTATTATTATTATTATTATTAACCCCTTTCCTTATCCTTAATGTTATAAACTTTAACACGTTTTTTTTTTCTTTCTTTTTTTAGTTAAAAACCAAACGGAGTGTGCCAGGTTACACCCCAAACCCAACGCTGTCATGTTAAATGAACACAGGCGGGATCAGGCTGTAGTTCACCCACATCGGTTTGTCTTCAGCCCAAAGTGATGGCTTATCACACAATACAGTTTGCGATTGCCCTCGCACATTCCCACAGTTCAACTGCTAAAGTTTATTAGTGTGAAAATGAAATCCACAAACTCTCCTTGGGCTATCCTGACTTCAAATAAAATGTTGATACTGTACAGTTCTTTAAAGTTAAATCCCCCCCTAATTTTATTTTGAAGTGAGCCAGAACGTTTGACTAAAATCCAACTCTCTTAAAATATAAATGCTAACACATGTATTAAATAAATTTTTCCGATTTTCACAGGACTTCTCATGTTTTTCCATAAAATATTTGTCGGTCCGTTTGCGCACGATAACTGTAAAATATCTGGACATTTTCAGTAAATACTTAACCAATTAAAGTAATTTCAATCCCTGAACGTGTGTATCAGCTGGGGCAGTTGTAATATCTGCACACACCGAAACAACCTAGACTATAACTTGTTTCAAAAGGCAAATAATATAAACATTTTATGAATGAACATAAATGTGCTTTTATTAAAATGACGTTGACCCTAACACAAAACAACAACCCTACAAGTTATAGGACCTGATATTATTATAACCTGCAAGTCTGAGTTGTCCATGTGTTACCAGAAATAGTTCAGAATTGGCGTTAGGAAGCAATGTGACGATAAACGGGCAATAACTAATAATTATATGTTGACAAAAATTGTCTTCAGAGATGTTCATATCAATAAGGGGGTAGAGTTCCCAGCTGTCTGATTGGTGCAGATGGCGCTCCGGGGTGTGCGCCGTCGGCTGCTATAGTAGCCCGCGCGGCGTGTGTTTGTGTGTGCGCGCGAGCGCGCGGTTGTGTCTGTAAGCGCGTCGGTTGCGGCGCCGCAAAGACCTCTGATTGGTCGCTTACGCAATCCTCACTTTTTTTTTTTTTTTTCTCTCTCATGCTGCGCAACTTCAGCGGGCATATGAAATGCTTCCCCACTCCCCGGAACACGCGTGTAATATCATGTCCCAGCAATGGATGGCTCCGTGTGGTAGATATTGAACACCCTCCACACGCCAACTCCCCGAACTGTACACAGCGTCAGACAGACAGAGAGAGAGAGAGAGAGAGCGAGAGAGCGAGAGAACAAAAGAAAGAAAGAAAAGTAAGGAATGTAAAAGTTCAATTACCCTCTTGGTGTCCTGCTCCGTGCCCGGCCTCCATCCGCTCTCTATCCGCAGTGGAAGCAGCCTCAGCCTCAGCCCCGGAGAGCAGAGCAGAGCAGAGGAGAGGAGGGGAGTTGCTACTCCCGCCTGCCTGTGCACTTTACGATGCAGAGAGGGCCAAGCCGCGGAGGCTTTTTTCTTACCTTGCCGCACGGATCCAGAGGGGGTGAAGTGGTTAACAACGGATGTTTGGGAGATTACGCGTTCCTCTTCTCTCCCACCCTCCCTGCCTCCCCCTCGCCCCCTTCACCACCTCTTCTTCTTCCTCCTCCTCCTCCTCTTCCCTTCTCCTCCAGCAGCAGCAGCGTTTGGTGACTCTCTCGTTGGAAGAGTGAGTGGCCTCGGCGGGGCAGCCAAAACAGTGAGCCGCATCCGGTACCGACAGCATCATTAAACAAGGTTTTAGTTTTTACGTTCCCCTCTGCTGTCGGCGTTGGAAATGCGCAAGTCTAATTGCAATTCATCATTACCGGCGACAGATTTTCTCTTCATACACCGTTGAAAATAAATAAATAAATAAATAAATGATATTTAACTATTTTTATTTGGATTAGATCTCAATAATATATTTTTGGGAGGGAATAAACATGTAAAATTAAAAAAAGTAGATCCCAACTAACTTTTAAGAGGCACTTAATTAATACAATTACTTAAATTCTAACTGTTAACATTTTCTTTTATCATTTTATCCTCCTAGGTTCAAAAGGAGTAACAAATGTAAAACATGATATTTGATAAAGTCATGAAATGTTGCTGAAATAGAGTCGTAACTCTGGGTCCATAAAAACAAAATATTTTTTCCAATATTTAGAGGCAAAATGAAAAAATAAATAAATAAATTGTATAAGTTTTTATCAGTACAGAGCTTAATCAATTGTTTAAAGAATTCCAGTTCTGGTCAGACTGATCTCAGCGTAGTTGAACGGATGCTGCTGGTTGTCGTAATGGTTAAAATATAATTGAAAAATCTTCTTTTTGCATTTTCACGCGGAGAATACAGGTTTTAAAATTCTCAGACTCTTTTAAAAAATGACTATTCAGCGTAGAATTATCCTTCTAGTTAAATGTTGTTAAAAGTAATACAAACACTATAAAGGATAGCCATTTAGCTGAGGGGACAAGAGTTGCACATTTTTCACAGCCCCTTAAGAAAAAATAGGTTAAGCTAAGCGCTACCTATTTGCGCTTAGCAGGCAATAGTTAGCCGTCTATGTGTTTATTTACAGTGCTTACAGATCTTTTGTGTCCTGCCTGTTCGTGTTTCCTTATCCTGTCATGTCCCACAACACTTTTAGTTAAAATCTGCCTTTATGAGGTGGAATGTGAATGTTTTTTTTCTGTAAGCTGTGTGGACATGTGCCATCCGTTCACAGTAACTATCAGAATTAAGAACCTCGACCTCCTAAGACCGTTAGCATTGTCGCTAAGCTAGTCAAAGCTAAATGCAAACTTTTTCAATAACAACTTTATTGGTAGGGATTCTTTTTTAACAAGTTGATCAATTAATTCAAAACAGAAACCCGTACAAACGTGTTTCTGTTACATACAGTGTGATAATAACAGTGAACTGATGCAACATTTTTAGTTCATTTCTAATCATCATTCAAGGGTAAGACTCTTACTCATATAAAGTAGCTAATGTTTGAAAATGTCATTAAAACTTCTGGAATTGTCCTAACTAAACTTACATAGCCTATGAAATCATTTTTTATAGCATATGTGAGTTCATTACAGGATAAAACCCTGTCCTAATGGTTTTCCCTGGACTTTTCGGATCCCCCACACCCCCTCTAAGCCCCTCCTCCACCCCAAATTAAAGTGGCACCTGGACTTAAATGGCACCTTCCTTCCTTTCCCCCATTTTCCTTTTCATCATCAGCAAAATAAAAGATTAAGCCTATACGGAGGGGATTGTAAGGGCTCTCCCACTCTGAGGCACGGGGCGGGGAAGGGGGGAACGGGGGGGATCTTCATTCTGCTGCCTTTGTGATGATATTGATGATGATGATGGCCAAGTGGACAGTTTGATTTTTGTGCGGTGAGCTAGTTATAAAGAATCAATATTATATCAAGGGGGGTAACTTTGGTGATAAAAGACTCCGGCCACTGCGGCTATTCATCATAAGTCTGTAGCAAGCAGATAGGTCAAAAGAAATTATATTGCTCTAAAGAGTGTGTCTCCTTATCTCCCGGTACCAGGGGGAGTGGAGGACATGCCGATCGATACAGTATGGCTGCCGTGGACTCCTTGCAATTATCAATAGCTGATTTTGTCTTCCCGGGGCTGCATCTATTAATACCAGATAATAACACCCTCATGGACATATCCTTCCGAGGGGATGATGTGGGGCGGAGGGGGGGAAGTAGCAGTAAAGTTTGGTCTGCAGGCCGACCTTGTTGTCAACAGATTCGTCTCATATGAGGCGAACACGGGGGAGTAGACGTCAAACAGACGAGAGGGACGGAGAGGATGGAGGGAAGCCTTAGGTTGAAAAGATGTAAAAAAAAAAAAAAAAAAAAGACATTGCCTTCCGTCTGAAAAGCTGAAAAGATGTCCGGATTTCATTTTTCATTGCTTTAGTGTTTAGACATAAGGCAGTGTTGTCTATTCTATGCTCATATCATAAGTTTCAACGTCAGTGTGTGGACTAAGTTTGAACATGCCGAGTTTGAAATGGGAGTTCTCGGAGAAATTGTTTCATGTTTCTTTTAAAATCTTCAGCTTTTGAAGGTGAAAGTCAGATGTTAACATGTTCATGACATGCACAAGATTAGAATATGCTCCCAGTTTATCAAGGCTTACAACTTCTTAGTCACATTTAGACTTAAAAACACATCTATTCGCCTTTTTAACAACGTAAACATGGAAGGTAATGTTGTCTTTGGGGTATAATGATGTCCTCTTAGCTTTTATAGCCTGATTATAGCTAAATAAAGACAAGGACTTGTCGACTGCTTGTTAGGCCATTAGGTCAATCGCATCAACAACTTCTTTGACATTTAGACATCTTTATGCGTCTTAAAGTAGATGTCCATTGTTTGGAGCAATTGCTCTAAATTTAAAAAGGAATTTTTTCAGGTTCTGAGGCTAAAATGTGGACAAAAACATGATAAAGTGGTGCATTTTGATTGAAGAAGACAAGCGATTCAGTTATTTGATCAACCTTGATATGTAGACCTGTAGGCATCTTCTTGAATACCTAAGTTTATCGTTGTCTATTCTTAAGCTTCATAGTCTGGCCTTCAAAGTATTTGTTTAGACTAAGTTAAAGAGTTACATCTTCAATGCATATTTCTGTACTAAATGAAGGAACTGACCACCACCTAAAATAGCCATAGGAAAGACATTCAGGAAGTCCAGTGTTTGGGCCTGAATGTGGAACCTTTAGAGTTTGAGAGTAAAACACGGACCCAGATATGACCAGGAGACACATTTGTCTTGACAATAATAGCATAAATGTATCTTGTGATCTTTTTCACTGTTCAGTTTTCAGTCACATGCTTCCAGCGTCTCTTTTGGTTAAATACAATTGGCTGACCAGACATAGAAAATAATAATAATACCAGATGTTTCCAGGTCATGTGATTGTTCCAAATTTAACTTAAATCTTGAGCTCAGAATCCAGATAAAGGAGCAGAATCCTGCAATGTGCTTTGGGTTATCAACCATAGGAAGAATGTTACATCCCTTGGTTTCATCTGATCAACCGTAACAACTTTTCTGCCACATTTATACATCAGTAGACATCTTTTGAACTTTAAGCTGCATTTTCACGTTGCTTGAGTCAAAGAGAACGCTGCGTTTCCTATTCCTGCTCGATATAAGTTTACACACAACTTTACCACAAAATAAACCTCCATTGACGTCTATTGTTTGAAGGGATTGTTTCAAATTTGTGGAGGAATTAGTCGGCTCTGAGGGAGAGAAATATTTTGCATCAGTGGAGACAACTTTATGTTTTCTGTCTTTTGATTGGTTGCAATAATGTGAAATACTGTTTTCAAAATTCAAAATGGAGCAGTAAAGGCAAAGCTATTTTAATTGTGCCAAATCATATCTTGTTTATTTGCTTTTTATTAAAACGTCCAGACATTTGTATGTAACTGAAAGAAATATATTTCTTAATGTCGGTTTTTATGTCTTTTAATGTTTGACTTTACACAATTGAAGGCCACACGCAGGTCGATTCACCTGATTTGATATTTATATATATATATATATATATATATATATATATATATATATATATATATATATATATATATATATATATATATATATATATATATATATATAAAATTCTCTCACACCTCAAACAAAACCAGCTGTGTCTCCCGCGGCTGCTTAAACGCGTCATAAAACTTCAGAGAACGCGCAGAACTTTCCACGAAAATCCGGTATGAATCCGGCGCCCCGGCATCGATTCATCTCGCGTCGCCCGCCGTATGATGATATGATGGGAGGTCGACTCTGGGTGGTTCGCGCCGGTGGAGGACTGAGGGGACGAGCCACTGAACAGCAACGTGGTGGTACATCCTAGTGGTGGCTGAGAGCAATGGGCTGAACCCTTGCTTGGGGGTTGACACTCGCACACACACAGAGAGAGCGCGCAGTCCCCCCTCCGCACACACAGAGAGCCATGCCCAGCAACGAGAGGCAGCGACGCTGCGAGCGGGCAGCCAGAAGATAATTTCAAAGTTGGCTTCGCTTCCCGAAGAGAGAGAGAGAGAGAGAGAGAGAGGGGGGAAATCGACGCGGTGACCGAAGTTTCTTTTTTATTTTGTTTTTTCATTTTTCGTCTGGGAAACAAGCGGGTGTTCTTTTGTTTTTGTTTTATCCTTTAATTTTTATTATTATTATTATTATTACTTTTTTTTTTTTTTTTTTTTTTGACCGTTTTCCCGAGAGGGCCCCCTG